CACTGGCTTCCATCCTCCGCCCCCCTCTGCCGATCCCTCCACTGGCTTCCATCCTCCGCCCCCCTCTGCCGATCCCTCCACTGGCTTCCATCCTCCGCCCCCCTCTGCCGATCCCTCCACTGGCAGTTATGCACCTCTCTGTCCCAAATCACATCACCAAAAATATCACCCAAACCGTCCTCTTTGGTCCTCGCAAGACCTCTCACTCTCTCATCACCTCCTTCCATACTCCCCTCCAGGACTTCTCCAGAGCCTTTCCCAACCTCTGGAACTCCCTACCCCAAATCTTCCCACCAATCTCCTATTCTGTCTGCCTGTAGGTGATCCCCCGAAACCTCCTCTCTTCAGGTAAACCTCTTAGATCCAGGAAATGTATTTCCCTCATTCAAAAGTACTAAAATTAAGTTTTTTTTTCCCCCCTCAGATCTCCCGCCGCCGCCAGAGCCCCCTCCCGCTCATGAAGAGCTGTGCTCGGGGGGCATGGAGTGCTCCGCGTCATCGCTGGAGAGAGACGCCAGCATTACGTCCTCCATAGAGAGAAGAGGAGCCGCCGGGCAGCAGAGAGGAGCTGCAGCTCACCCGCTGCACCACAGAGAAAGTGAGACTCCTGCCTACTTCATACGTGTAAACCGTTTCCAGACGTATTCATAGCGATCAGATGTTGGTGCATTTTGTTCAGATCACTGGGCAGTACAAGAGATCGTTCTTTAGCCTTGCAGCACTGGGATTGTGGGTTCAGTTTCCACCAGGGTCTGCACATCCAAGGAACTTGTATGCTCTCTATGAGTTTCAATACATAGTTATCATCTGCTTATGATGGACCAAAGTCCGAATTCCTGAATGGAGAAAAGACCCGTCCAATCTACTTCTGTATCTTACCATAAAAGCCCCAATGGATGGTCACAATAGGACAGCCATCTATCCAGTCACCATCAGTGGAAGGGGACTATGGGCTTCTGTCTGCTTTACTGAACCAGCAGACGTATTAAAGTGCATCAAAACCCAACAATGAGCTTCTCTTATTTGCTCCCTATTGCTTTGAGGACGTGCTGTGGTTGGCTGGGATGGTCGGTTGCTATCAGGGGCGGACTGACAACACATGGGGCCCCCGGGCAAAATACGATTATGGGGCCCCCCTTGTGCTCCGCCCATATACAAGCCCCGTTACTGTATAAAGTACTGCTGGTATTTGTAGTCCTCTATATTCTGCATTGCTGCAATGGCACCTGCTATAGAGGACTACAAATACCAGCAGTACTTTATACAGAGGCCCCAGGCTGCCGCATCACGTACCTGGCTGCCTGCAGCTCCTCGGGCTCCCTTCTCAGCATCCGGCGGTCGGTGTTTACCGGCGGGCCCCTGATCTCTGCGCGGGCAGTAGCGTGGGATACTGGCGCCCCCCACCACTCCGCACGTCCCTCTCCATAGCCTTCATCCTCTCCACGGCCCGTGCTGTGTCCCGTCCCGCGGCTCCCGCCAACTCTCTGCCCACTGCGCCTCGGCTCGGAATGCTGGAGAGACTGCTGATCCCAGCAGGCCGCGCGCGGGGGCAAAGCAAAATGCAATTTGTAATGGGGGAGCAGGGGGCCACGGGCCCCATACTGGCCACGGGCCCTCGGGCAGTGCCCGAATGGTCAGTCCGCCCCTGGTTGCTATCGTTTTCCAGGGACCCGGGCAGAGGGGATTGGGGAGCAGGCTGGAGAGGTTGTAGATTGCAATGTGTGTGGGAAGGGGGAGGTTGGATGTGCAGCATAGCTAGATATGACTGCGAGTCATTTTGGTGACACCCCTCCAATGGTGTCACCCGGGTGCGGGCCGCACCCCCCTTTGTGACGCCACTGGGTAGACTGTCTGGGGTCCCATGATCTCTAATGGCGGCTGTGTAAAGGGGTCCTTGAAATGAGTACTAATAGAGTTGTCAGCACTGTAACCATCAATCACCTTCCATTGCTCCGCCCCCATACTGAAGCTGATGTCTGGTTGCTGCTCATCGCACCCATTCTGAAACGTCTTTTCCTGTATTAAACAATCCCTCTCTGTTTTCAGACGAAGAGATCATTCCATACTGTAAACCCAACTTCCTGTCCCGGAGTCAAATGTCCGGCAACTGCTCCACATCGGGAAGCAGCTCGTCCCGGGGGTCCGCGGGGTCCCGGGGTCACCCATCTGGAAGGAGCAAAACAGGAGAGCGGAAAGAGGTAGGAGACCGTGTGTGAAATTAAAGATTGCCCCCCCCAAGATACAAGATATCGTTTCTGGGATTAGAGAGTGTTAAAGTTCATGTATGTCCCCCAGAAAAAAGAGAGCGGCGCACGTATCGGGTAACCCGAACACCGCCGTGACTCGCCGCCAACCCGACAGAGCAAGAAACACAAACGGCTGACTGCTAAACCACCCACGCAGAATCCTAAACAGAGGAAGATTCAACCTGCTGGGTGTCAATGAGCAAAATATATCCCCAAATCTCATCGGTCTCTGGCCTCATATGTACCTGGAGAGGTCACCCAGCCCGGTCATGATTTGTCTCAGCCAATCACTAACACTTATCCTAAGATTAGGTCTGTACAGTCCCGTCTGATTGGACGATACAAGAGCATAGGTGTCAATGCGACCTCAATGGCATCTCGAAGCCAAACCTTATGATTTTTGCTTTTTTTAAAGCTGAACTTCATGTAAACCACAAAATACAAAGATGAAATACACACACTATATTGCCATAAGTATACCTCATGCACATGGGCACATGGGGGGGCCTGATTGGCTCCTTGTGCTGTTTCTCCTTCCCCCAGTCTAAGCTCTGCTGTATAGAGGCTGATGAGCAGGTCACATTTAGATACTTGCATGCATATAAGAAATATTTTGCACACAGAGCTGCTGTCATTGTGTCTGATGTCTGCCTGGAGATCCAACTTTTTGAGAAAACATATCGTGGGGCTCTGTAGTTTTAGGTTACATTTCTGCTCATTGTTACATTGTAGCGTGTGATGAGAAGTCCTGAATGGCTCCGTGCCGGCTCCACACATGGAATATGGAAAGATGTTCAGAAGCGCCGGCTCTCTGCGCTGAGTGAGAACTCGAATGTATTGTGGAGTTTTCAGCACCCGGATATTATTATGCCTCTAATGGCAGCGAGCGCGGAGCTCATCATTACAGGGGGGGACGGGGGGGCGGGGGGGGCAGGACACGCGGGGTGGGTGCG